CCGCCGCCTGACACACGCCCCAGACCGGCCGACCGGACAGCACGGCGGCGCGGCCGGCTCCAGCTGCAGCCGGCGACGCGCCCGGCTCCAGCTGCTGCCGGCGACGCGGCCGGCTCCAGCTGCTGCCGGCGGCGCGGCCGGCTCCAGCTGCAAGCGGCAGGGCGGGCGGCTCCAGCTGCAGGCGGTGGCGCGGCCGGCTTCAGCTGCAGGCGGCGGCGCGGTCGGCTCCAGCTGCTGGCGGCGGCGCGGGCACGACGGCCGCACCGCCGGCAGTCTCACCTTTCTCGCCGTACGGGTCCTTGTTGACCAGGTCGGGCGTCTCGGTCAGATCGGCGTTCCGTTCCACCAGCTTGCCCGAGACGGGCGCGTAGATGTCGCTCACAGCCTTGACGCTCTCCACCGATCCGCACTCGTCTGGCGGCGGCCGGGAGCGCGCTCAGGCGACGCCGCGTCACGTCACGTGCGGATAACAGCGGCTCGGGGCCTCGTCAGGTCAGACCTGCGGCCTCGGGCCCTGAGCTCCGGCCAAACGGGGCCCTGGGCAAGGGTCACGGGCCGGGAAGATCCTGAGTTGCCGCCAGACGGGGCCCATGAGCTCGGGTCGGGTGGGGCCACGGGCCAGGTTCACGCATGCAGTGGGCACGGTTTACTGTCCTGTGCTAGTCTTAAATGATGAGAGGGTGAAAGGACATCACGTTCAGAGGGCGGACAAGCTCACAGCGGGCGGGGCGGCTACACAACTCGGACGCGAGCATGCAGACGCGCAGGAAACGACGCCGGCGGCCGGCTGTTTCCTGCTAATGGCGGGCGGCGGCGGATAATGCTACACAACAAATCTATTGATGAAATATATATAAAGCCTAAACTCAAGATGAAGATACCTTAAGAGACGCTGATAACTGGTTTCAATAAAGGCTAACAAACGGATGATGTGAAGACCGCCTTACCGCCCTGATCCACCTCCTGTCCCGGCTCGGCTATCTCCACGTACACCAAGTCACCCATAGACTCCTGCAACGGCACCAGACGGCGCAGCGTCACGTTCAGTAGTGTCACGCTCCGCTTCGCGCCGGCTGCCGGCGAGAGGGCTGCGAGACGCGCGTGCTCACGCCATACATGTCACTAGGTCGCCCACGCATCGCGCCCCGCCGGTTTATCCCGGCACACTGGGCCCTCCGCTCGCCGCGGCACGTTCATCCTTATTCAGCCCCGAATGTCGTGAACACGGGGCCCGAAAGGCCGCCGCGTTCATGCCGCGACACAGCACGCGACCCTGAGCTCAGGGGTCGGTTCGCGGGCGCCCGGCCGGCCAGCCAGCGGAGGTCCGAGGCGAGGACAGCGCGTCGCCACGCTGACACAGGCCAGCCGCACCAGGCACCCGGCACCGGCCGGCCGAGCGACGCAGCCATTGTAAGCAAACGGCACCGCCGGGCTGGGCCGGGCCGGGCCGGACCGCTACCGACCGGCGGCCGCGGCCCGCGGCTGCCCCGGCCGGCCCAGCCGCGCCGAAGGCCGGGCGCGTCGCTGGTCACTCGTCCTCGTGTTTTGGCGCGGGGATCTCCTGCTAAATATGACTTGGCTATTTATAGCCAGCTATTCGGCTATCAAGCTTGCCGTTTAAATGGTACAGTGAACAGTACACGCGAGCTCGGTTCACGAATGGCAAACAAATGAGCTTCGCATTCATCACATTTCAGCAAATAACTCCTCCGATTTTAAGAAACAAAAGTGAGGTGCAGCATAGCAGAACTAATGGTACCTGCATGTTCATTTCATGTTAAGCTCATGCCATTTTTGGTAAACGAACTGAAGCAGCGCAGATTCCACAAATGGTTTCCCCGATTTTTCACTGACCCCAGTTGACCCTTGTCTCCCACTGCACCAGTGGGAGGGAGGGGGGGGGGGGCATAACGAGCACAGGTGAGCCGCTCGCCGCTGAAAAGGCCGGCGCGCAGCTGTCCGGCCAGGTCCGGTCACGCGGTGCGCGCGGCCGCGACCCCGCCGTGCCGAGCCGCGGTCACCGCGGAGCCGGCCCGGCGCCGGCGCACGCCGCTCCGGCTCTTGGGCCGCTGCACGCAGCGAAGGCTCGTCGCCGGAGGGCGAGCCGTGTCGCGGGGACCGCAGCAGCCGTGGCCCGAGACGCAGGGAGGCGGCGCTGCGCGGGGATGGCGAGGGGAGCCTTCAACACCGGTGAAGACGTCACATCGGGCGGTGCAGGAGCCGACGGCAGGGCAGGGACCGACGCACGCCGACGCACTGCCCACTGGGGTCCATGGACGCATGCAAGGTGTAAACAACAAATGCGATCGACCCGATGCACGAAACAAACACAACAATTTGCGGGAGTGAAGAAGCAGGTGGTGACTGTTAACGACGCGAATCGGTCGCCACGGGGTCAGACCCGTCACCGCAGCACTTGGCAGCGGGCGGCGATGGTGTGAGCCCACCACGGCGGTATTTGGCAGCCGGAGGCGACTGCTATTGGAACGTGTCGGAAGTCACGGGCTCGTGGTGAAGCAGCACTTGACCTTTCCGGGTCCAACAGTCAATCCCACCGCTCGTCTCATCCTGTGACCTTGACACCGACGTTCCGCCTCACGAACACCCAGGCGCAAAAAGAACAACAAAAGTACAAATGGCCGCCTCCGAACTGCCGGGCCCAAAACGCATTCCAAAAGAAACATCGCCGCCCAATTAGGCATCGTCACAAACACCCCGCAGAACACGCCACAACGCTCATCACCATGTTGTGCCCCCGGACAAGCAGCATCCGCTCAAATGAGGCAACCCGGCGCAGCGCACTCACCAACGGATTGGACTTCCACGCTCCTGGCTAAGAACAACCCACGGACAACATTTCATGCATCAATGTCTGAAGCAAATAAACAAACGCCCAGCGGCACCCGTGGGTCCCGAGCGCAGACCACGGCACGGACGGGAGCGGCCCCCGGCGGCAGGCCGGCAGCGGCCCACTCACGGCGGCTTTGGCGGTGATGCCGACGGTGCCGACAACCGCCCTCCATGCGCACCCACTCGTGCTGCCTCCGTGTACTTGAGCTCTGCCGGCAGGCGGGGCACCGGTCACGACCCTGCGGCGCGCCGCGCGCCGCGCGCCAGCCAAGCCACGCGGCGCGAGGAAGACTGAAACGGCTGGGACAGCCACTGACGTGGTTAACTGCCTGACGCTGTGGTAAGAGCCCGGACTGCATCCGTGTTACAAATCTTGGAGGAGCTTAAATAAAAACCTAACATGGCCGCCTTGCTGATTGGAGAAATGAATGCTGCGGAGATGTTTCGGCGAGATGAAGCATTTATTACCCCAGATGTCCCGGCCCCGCCGTGGAGGGCACATACCTGCACCTCATGTGAGCTTAATCCCCCAGGTCGTCAGGTCTGACCAAGTTTATCGTATTGCGTGAAAATATGTTGTAATAGATTGCTGTGTTTACAGTAACGATCCCATTGATCCCGGTCGGCCAGAACCCACCCTGTGGCTGGAGCCCCCATCTTCTCTGAAACGGTAATGCCAGCTTATCCATAGCAACGTCTCCCCGAGAAAACGACAGGCTAGGCCACTCTCTGGAGAAAAACGACTAACTAAGGCCCGAGGTGATTAGCAGAGACATAACAGAATTAGCCCACGGGGTCTAGCAGGTGCCTCGGGTTCTAAATGGTCCCAAAGAGCTTGACGACCCCTCGGGGCCAGACGGTCCCTCGGGGCTAGATGGTTCCCTGGATCAAGACGGTCCCGAGGGGCTTGACAGCCCCTAGGGGCTAGACGGTCCCTCGGATCTAGACGGCCCCTCGGGGCTAATCAGTCCCACGGGGCTAGACGACTCGGATCTAGAGATAGAGCACGACAGCCGGCATGTGCCTTTTTCTTCTTGTGTTGCGCGTCTGGGGCATGCTGGCTACTAAGGTCACCTGGCAGAGCCCGGCGTACCGCCCAGGGGCGACACAGCTGACCTCTGGTGGCCAAAATGGCCGCGCCCCGGCTCGGTGGCCGGGCGGCAGCACGCCGAGTCCGGCGTCGCAGTAACGTAAACAGGCCGTGGCGTCTGGCCGCCGTACGACAGGACGCGTCTCGTGCGGCGCCGCGAGCCAGCCACCGTCCGAACAACCGACCACGCACGCGCCTGTCTCCCCAGTGGCGGGGTGGAGGAAGGGGCTGGACAGGGCGGAAGGCTGTTAAGTGCACACGCTGTCTGGTCAGACGCAGAGTAACGTGCTCCTTTGACTGATGAATCCTTTTCTCTCGCGCAACAGATCGTCGTTCCGACGTCATGAAGACATTGGCCAGGCCTAATATAATGTGCTCAGGCGTAATCCCGAGTAAAAGCGTCTTCAGGTCAGGTTGATTTACTGGTTTAGGGTTATGTGCCCTGCGAGATCAGTTTCACGCAAGTTTTCGGTTATTTGCTGCTTGGGGCAAAACAGATAGCACATTGGCAGATAGCACAGGTGCAGTTATCACGTCTCATCATACCTCGATTACCTACGCCAGATCAACAAAGTACGGCGATTACGTCAAAGGCCAGCCGATTTTTGAGCCGCATCTGCCATCTCAGGAGAAACCCCGCTTTTATCAAGGCATTGGTGATTTCTCCCTTCCAAAAACCAAAGGAGATAGTCTACGCGCCAGAGGATAACGTGAACATGACAACTGAAGAGTGACGCTGCGTACCAAGAATAGGCATGGCACTGAACAGGTGGTGGCCTCCACATCACGCACCGCCGGAATCAACTTAATAGGGCGCTGAGTAGCCGCGGGAGGTTCGCGGCACACCCTGGGAGGCGGCGCTCTCCCTGAGCTCGTGCCCCGCATCCCCCGCGGTGGCACGCGGCCGTGAGCCGGGGCCGCAGGGGGTCAGCACCACGTCAGGGGAGGCGGCTCCACCCACCGTCGTCTAAGACCGGACAAGTCACGCCCGCGCGAGAGCCGGGGCCGCAGGGGGTCAGCACCACGTCTGAGGAGGCGGCTCCACCGACCATCATCAGAGACCGGGCGAGTCACGCCCGCGCGAGAGCCGGGGCCGCAGGGGGTCAGCACCACGTCTGAAGAGGCGGCTCCACCGACCGTCGTCAGAGATCGGGCGAGTCACGCCCGCACGAGAGCCGGGGCCGCAGGGGGTCAGCACCACGTCTGAGGAGGCGGTTCCACCGACCGTCGTCAGAGATCGGGCGAGTCACGCCCGCGCGACGGCCGGGGCCGCAGGGGGTCAGCACCACGTCTGAGGAGGCGTCTCCATCAACCGTCGTCAGAGGCCGGGCGAGTCACGCCCGCGCGAGAGCCGAGACACGGGAGCAACTGTCTGGCCGGGGATACGCACGGCACCAGTCCGGTCCAGGCTGTCTGGTCGGGGATGGACACGGCACCAGTCGGATCCAGGCTGTCTGGCCGGGGATGGACACAGCACCAGTCTCGTCCAGGCTGTCTGGCCGGGGATGGATACGGCACCAGTCGGGTCCAGGTTGTCTGGTCGGGGATGGACACGGCACAAGTCCGGTCCAGGCTTTCTGGTCGGGGATGGATACGGCACCAGTCGGATCCAGGCTGTCTGGCCGGGGATGGACACAGCACCAGTCTCGTCCAGGCTGTCTGGCCGGGGATGGATACGGCACAAGTCGGGTCCAGGCTGTCTGGTCGGGGATGGACACGGCACCAGTCCGGTCCAGGCTGTGTGGCCGGGGATGGGCACGGCACCAGTCGGATCCAGGCTGTCTGGCCGGGGATGGACACGGCACCAGTCCGGTCCAGGCTGTCTGGCCGGGGATGGGCACGGCACCAGTCCGGTCCAGGCCGTCTGGTCGGGTATAGGCACGGCACCAGTCCGGTCCAGGCTGTCTGGCCGGGGAAAGGCACGGCACCAGTCCGGTCCAGGCTGTCCGATCAACCAGAAGCCGATTGAACACTTACGTCCTGTTCGACGTCGATAGTGACACACAAATCTGTGGGTGGGGTGGCGACATCGCCGCCAGCCAATGATGGGCGTTGCAGGTGTGCACGCACCCCTGTGCGGATGCAGCAGAAGCCGCCGGTGCTGTCCCGGCAGTATTATCGAGGTGAGGAGGGCGCAGGCCACACCACCGTGCGGACGTCCTCCGACGCCGCAGCATCACACAGGCTTGTCAGAGCAGTTGACCCCACCAAAGCTGGCTTTTTTAGTTATATGCAGGAAGTGGTGGCAAACTCCAGATTTATGCCGTATTTTCTTTTTCACAAGAGCTTTCTCTTTGTGCTGCAACACACTGGTAGAAAGTGGTCCTAACAAAGCCTGGGGAGGCAAATATCCACCAGGTCTCCTTTCATCATGGCAGAGTTTTAGTCTAGGCCATTGTGGCCTGAAGCAAAGGGCAAAAGTGGCAACACCAAAGCTCAAAGCTGTTTGCCAGGCTAGAGAGCTACATGTGCAGACATTTTGTTTGTTTTGTGAAATCAAAATTAGCAAGCTTTCATAGCATGCACAATGCATGCAAGCCTCCACTCATGGTGTGTTTATTCCACTCATTCCAAGTTCATTCCACTTGTGTATGTTCATTGAAGAAGATAGCCTGAGTCAACATCTGACCTTGTCTTCAGTTGATAAATGCGGCTCACAAAGCTTAGGGGATCTGGCTTGTTTTATACAAGTCACAAGTTACTTTTGGAATGTTGGCTAGTATCAAAGCTATATCAAGCTAATCACAAAGCTAGTATTCATCAGACTATGACAGCAACTTCCACACAAAGCTCCACCACTGCTGCTTGTAATTAGATGCTTAACAGACCCAAATACTATGCTACATTATTGAAACATTCAAGTGCATATGATGATCCAGGGTGGCAATACTCTAACATATGAGCCTCCACAGCATAGGCCCAGGCAATGGCAAACAGGCAAAATATCAGTCACACTGGATATAGGTCCCAAGATACATGGAAAGTTTGTAGGTCATTATTAGAGAAGTTGTCAGAATGTTTCATTTTTGCACCATTGACTCTGCAGAATGTTGCAACACTTAAGGTCAGCATTCCAATATTAAATTAATTGATGTCAGAGAAGACAATATCACCCAAACTGTGTGAGCTGCCTTGAAAATGAATGGCCAGACAGCACAGAATAACAAAATTGTATCTATGCATTTCAAATACACCCATTCATAGCTGTTGAGAGGAACACAGATAATAAGAATCAGGAGAACTGTGGAAACCTGTCATGTTAAAGTGTCATTCATTTTAAAGTGTGGCTTCATATGCAGCCACTAGAAGGGGGCAGGGCCATCAACAATGAGTGCAGATTAGTTAATACTCCCCTTCCCTTAAAAAGCCTTGCCAATGACCTCCAACATGCTAAAAACAACACTGTTATGACTCAAAACCATCAAGGTTGGTACATAAAATGTGGCATGTCATCTTTTGGACCTGCATTGCAATTGCAGTGTTTTGAAACTACCACAGGGTATGGAAAAAGCTTACAGAAAAAAAATGAAAGCCAAAACAGAGCTGTGTAACTGAGCAAAACTGACTTCCATCAGCTACAGTTGACTTGGAACAATTTTCCTAGGGACGCATCACTTGATTGGCCCTACAAGCAAGACGTCCAGCCCCTTAGAATACCAGTATTTCCATGAGCCCTCCTCGGCCTCAAATCTTGGCCACGGCTATAGAAGAGGTACCGCCGACCGCATGGGTACATACCAGCTAGACGACGGGATGAAACGGAGAGGTGCCTTCGCGCGGAACAGTGGAAGTTATGGTGAGTTAAGCCGTTTTGAACACGCTTTAAACATAACGGGGTAATAACCCGAAATGCACAACCCATACGCAGCCCCAACGAAGCCATCTCCACTCGGACAACACGTTAACCAAACACGCAACCCACGCCCTCCGTCCGATCGGCAACAATCGCCGGGAACTCGTAGCGCACCGGGAACGCAATGCGCAAGGCTGTGTATAAACCTTAAGTCAAAACGCTATCTCATTCCTTCTACGACAGTTCTAAATTACGTCAGTGGAAGAAATAATGCGGTGCACGACCCATGAAGCCATGAAACACGAGACCGGGGCAAAAGGGTGGCGACAAAAAAGACAAAAAAGTGTACCTCTATGGTAGAATAACGCCGTCTGCGCCGACAAGGTTCGGATAATGGTGGTATATGTCATCTACAACGGTGAATGACACCGCTCCAACGACCGAGGACTTTCAGTTCTCAGCACCATCGGCGTCGCAATTCAGTGCTATCTCCATGGACTTCGATGCTATAGTAGTCATGACTACCATCCCCGTTGTTTTTAATAGCACGACGTATTTGGAAGCAGAATCTGATATCCGATTGATTCAGCTTTTTCTTGAACGGTAGTTGTGATTTTAGCGACATCGGTGCTCCCTGAATGCACGTGCGTAATCTTACGAAAGAAATTGCTAAAACAGCTGTGTGGGCTTGCTGCAGGCTTAGCTTGCCCGAACATCATTTTAGCCGCGCCTGTGTCACGTTTGAGCCGGCTGACGGCGGTGTCTGGCGTCCACAAGGTACGTCTCCAAGCCCTGACAGAACGGCTTAAATGTGAATGCGCGAAAGACGCGCACTTGGGTACAACCACATTTCTGGGATGGGGAAAGTGACAAATCATCTCGAAGGCAATTCTGGACGGAGGGAGGTGTGAATGATGTTGGCTAAAATGGAGGGAACAAATCCCCACTTCGTAAAAATCAAAGTCAATTGGCTTGCGACCTGGAACCCTGGCCGCTCCCAGGACCGTTAGAAGCGCCGCCAATAGCTACGGAGGAGGGATACGGCTGTGGAGAGCCGGCCAAGCGACGACACTGGGGCGGGTGACGCCACCTATCTTCACAGAGTGGGGATAGGGTTTCCACGGAGCCGCTGCTTGCGCCCTGCAGACCTGCAGCGTTTCCAGACCGAACGGCGCACAGCGGTGTCGACAATGGGCTAGGAGTCCGGTCATTCCGATCGCTGCACAGACCAGGTCCAAAGCGATAACCGATTTGCGTGCCACCAACGGCCAAAGCCGTCATCAGCGGTTCGCATAGCTCCCACACGGAGCGCAGTATATCGACACTGTAATGCATAATACTGCAGCATTTTGTAGTGTCGGGGCGGTCACAGCATCAAGCGAGCGAACCGGCACCAGTTACCACCGCTAAGCAACGAACAGGAAGAGAAATATGCCGCGATACGCAACGCGTCGTGCCTTGTCATGAATACGCCACAGCTGGATTGCAGACATGTCATAAATGCACCGCAGTTGAATTGCAGACATTGCCATTCCTAGAACATTTGCAACACTTTTTCCGTGCATTCAAACGGCCAGACCTACCGCTGTAGACAATTATGAATTGTTGGAGTTGGAGAACAGGTGATCGCACGTAAGCCTGCCAGTAACGGTCGTGAAGTAGTTTTCAGCGTTACAATGAGAAATGCATAGGGAACCGACTGTCCAATTTCGTTGCATTTTCCCTTTCACGCCAGACTCGAAAATATCTCCGAGCAAGTTCTACGTTTCTAGTTGACAAAGAAGGCGCTAAATGTCATAGAATAAAGGTAACGAATGCAACGAACAAATTCAAAATGTAGTAATAACGTAAATCCGTCGCATTCCAGGCCTACCGAAGTGCCGAGTGTAAACAAAACGGGAATCACCACAACCAGCTTAAACCCGGCTGACACATGCACCACTATATTTGACACGATCATGACATGGCCACACACTACACAACGACTTCAGACCGTTCTCGGGTCACGCGCAGCTTCAGCACTGCGCAAGCGGCGAGCGAGCGGGGCGCCGTCACCACTGGTGCGGCTCCCACTTGCCGTCGTCATGCCACTTGACCTCAGGCTCGCGGTGGGACCAGTCCTTCTTGCCCTCCTGCCAGCCGCGCGGGGGTGCGCTCTTGTAGTCGAACGTCACACCGCCGTCCTTACCCGCCAACTGCGCCTCCAGGTCAACGTGCTCCCTGCGGGGCATCATAGGTCAAATCGGATCAAATCAGGTCAGGTCAGTGGCCCAGCTGTCTCGCAGGCAGACCGTAACCGGCGTTTGTATGTGGTCGGCGACCTGAGTATGTTTCACGTGCCATCTACGGGACAGAGGTGGCATTGGGGGCGTATGCCAAAGCCGAACACACTAGTTGGAAAACCATGAAGCCGGTGTATAGTATAGAAATAGTATATAAATATATGGTATATCTAGTATAGAAAACCATGAATACAGTGTATAGTAACGGTATTAAGAAGACAAAACCAATTTCAAGTCTCCTAAAACTGTATAGGACCAGGAAATACCCCCAGGGTTTTGTGCAGTGATTGAGACTTAGTGTTAGCATCGCGAATGACAATTTTTCGGACCATCGTGATCATGACGTGTTTAAGTATACATATAGCGTTTGGGACAGTTTGTTCCCCGGCCATCGTCCGGCGTTCGGTGGTCCTGAGAATGACCGTCTGTTTTTTCGTCCTGAGAATGACCGTCTGTTTTTTGGTCCTGAGAATGACCTCTGTTTTTTGGTCCTCAGAATGACCGTCTGTTTTTTGGTCCTGAGAATGACCGTCTGCGAGCAAGGTATGGCTCGCTGCCTCGAAACTTGCGTGGTATATAGGGGTAAAATTACGGGCGAGGCTATACTTAAGAAGTAGCATACAACTGCAACAAAAACACCATGACAAAGTCACAGGCGGTAGTTCAAGATCCCACGAAGTCGAAGCCAACCATTCAAAAACGCAGAAACCGAGGACATGACCGCAGCCTGGTGTGGGCCCAACACTGAGTGCGTGTTAAGCATACTTCCACAGAGTCACAACAGCACAGCAAAAACGTTCGCTGACACTGGCGGAGTTGGCGTCATTTCATGGAACGTTTGGAACGAACGCACGAACGGAACGAACGTTTGGAACGAACGAATGCACCAATAGCACGTTGAGTGTGGGTGTCATGACAATGAAGCATCATATTCCTCAAAATACCCATCAGCGCACTGCAGTGAGGTTATGAAATCAGCGTGGCACAATAAAGCAAATCCCAGGAGCTAAAGTGTGTTGTACAACTATGGGAGCAAACAAGACACGCTCGTTTCTTTCACGGGAGCATTCACGCCCCAACCAGATATCCTCTGGCACCCACCTGAACTCCTTGCCCATGACGAGGCGGCCGGTGATGGGGTCTCGGTTGTCACCGTAGTGGTATACCATCTTGAGCAGCTGGTAGCGCAGCTTTCCGGGCATATCGTCTGGCAGCTGCTCCACCAGCACCGTGTCACCGGACTTGCACTGGCGCTCCGGATCCCGCACATCCAGCGTCCGGTCCTCCGGGAAAAACTGAGGTAGGTGGCTGATGTCACCCACATCCTCACTGTTAAACTGGGACACACACTGCATCACTCCATGTCAACATGGACACAATCATGTGTAAAGTGTCACTAGGGTCCAATTATGTTTTGGTACCTTTTTGCATGGTTAGCATGCAGATAGCCCAAATTTGGCCAAAATTTCCTGAGACTGGTCCAGAGTCCAACAACCCCAGAGATTTGTATGCCCATGCACCCAACAAAATAGGAAGTTAGTTGCACTTTGTGGTGCATGTCATGAATATCTATTGCCCAACACAGGAGAACCTTATCTTAATTGCTGCAGGGGGGATGCACTATGTGCCAACTATGAAATGTGCCAAAACAGTGATAGAAAAACAAAGCATCACATAATGGGTCCTTCAGTCCTATGGATGCTTACATGGCAATTGGACACAATGAAGGGCATTAAGTTATTTTGCAAAATCAGGTGCTTTACATGTAGGACATTAAAAGTTATTTGAATATTTCAGACACCTCTAATGACATATATTACATGACTTGTGAGCCATTCTGCTAAGTGGCATGCTTCCATAAGACAGCATTAGGGCTGTAGTGCTGCCCCATGTGTGAGCTCAGCTCGCCCTCCCAAGCATCTTGTAGATAACACATACCCTCGCATAGTCTGGGGACAAGTGTACCCAGCAAACAATAATGACCTCGGCAACCATGTGATTTGTGTTAAGAAATAATCCTCGGTGTATCATATTTATAGATGCAATGAATAGAATAACCAACACATAGAACATACATACCATAAGAAGACAGATGTAAGATACTTACCACATTAAGAATCTCATCACGCTTCAGGGTCCGAACAGTGACCTTAGCCATTCCTTCAATATTGGAAGGCAAACATTGACCAAGATACATTGCTAAGCGCTTGCCAGCCATCTCACAGTGCAATGAGAATAAACAAGGCTTTAGATGAAAGCCTGCTAACCTTAGAACCGCAGCAAATGATACAGAATGTTTCTCTGAATCCAATGAGCTACGAACACAAGCTAAGTCCTCTTAATTACTACCGTGCATAAATCGCATCGGCAAAAACACATGAGATGACACTATCTTGATTCACAGCATGGATATACGTTCACAGCATTAAAGACAGCTATACCGACAACCCCAACCTATCGTTACCAACACTGTATGGCCCTGATTCACCTGCCCGCGCCGCCAATGTTTCTTGTGCGGTATAATAGATGTAAGAGCACTAGTTCACTGCCGTGTGATTGAAAGTCGACGGGCGGAATTTACCTAATTTCATTACGAGCATATCGACGACGCCAATAGTTCTTTTCATTGCTTGTCTCAGATTCTTTTTAGGTGTTTCCTCACCTCTTAATGCTTACTTCACAAATACGTTTAAACACACGCAGCAGGTTTCTTCCCCGCAGCCCGATGCATTTCATTTTGGCTGCGCGTATACACCCTCCAAAACGGAGGGCGGTTACGCACCGGGTTTTTGTACCCTCCAAAATGGGGCGTGGCTACGTACCGGACTTATACGCCCTACAAAAACCTTTCAGATGGTTGTGCGTGTCAAGCATGCGCGGATTGTCAGCCTTAGAGGGAAGCAAGTGCAAATATGCAGAATCCCGTGCGAAAAGTCGGCTCTATGCGTGATAGGCTTCAAACGATCACGATATGTATTACCTCACTCTGAACAAGTCATATTCTGATCACAAATTTTCGGCCGCTGGACCTGCATCTCAAGTAGATGCATGGTTAGCATCCTGGTCTCGCACGCGGTAAACCGAAGTTCGAATCTCGGCAGCGGCCGATGTTAAGTGGGTGGGTTCATTTCCATCGGTGTGGCATGATGATGCCAGCTCTCTTCAATGCTAAGCGGAGTGAATTCTAATTTGGGCTTTTCATACCGGACAGCAGCGTAGTTTCTAATGCCAGAGGGAGGACTAAATGTAAAGAGGACTCCGTCCCTCCAGGGGGAGGGAGTCCGCACCCTACAGAGGTATTGAGGATCCCGTGAAGGTTGACCGTAAATCTAAACGAGGCCAGCAACTTGCGTAAACACTAATTGAAAATATGTAGTGTGAACATTACTATGTGTAATGTTATGTGAAGAATGTGTAAACATTTGTGAAAAGTTGAGCGCACACGACCCTTCCGGCCAAGTGCTTAAATACCATTCCGTCCCAGCCCGGGGTGTCAGCTGTCATTCTGGCGACATGGAGGCGGGTTCGCCTGATGGGTTCGTCCGGAGGCCCTCACAGATGTACGTCCTACATTGGTGTCCTCCCTGGCGCATTACTTCCCATTCTATTGGAGTGCCCTCCGCTCTTTTCGGGGGTCCTATCTGTTAACTGTGGGAGGGGGGGGGGGGGAGGTTCTGCTGTGGGCGACGTGCGCGATTGCCTGCCCGCTGCTGGACGTTGTTCGCCGCCGGCTGCCGCTGTCACGCCTCCCCACAAGAGCGAATTTATCATGAGTAGCCCATTGGTCAGCATACGAGCCAGATGATGTTAGCGCACGACTCGGCACGTTGTGGCTCCGGTACACCCTAGCTTGCTAATTTGCATTCTAGCTTAATTTGCTTAATACGCCCTAGCTTAATTTGCACCCTGTTTGCAATGTACACCCTACCTTAATTTGCTAGCTTGGCACCGACGCAGCTGCTGGGCCGACATCGGGTGTCCGAAGCTGAACGGTGACTCGTTCCCTCGCCTGACTTCCAGGGTGAGGGTTCCCTGTTTGGACGACGCTCCCCTCGTTCCGTCCACGACGGGCGGCTCGCCATTCGCACGGCCACACCCACCGCTTGCAGCTTCCTGCTACCGCGCATGCGCTTTAGGCAGCGCCCCGTCCAGCACGGAGGCGTCACCTCCGGCACTTCTGCGCCTTCGCCTCCCGCCCACCGGAGCAGGCTTTGCAAGGCACCGCCCCACGGCGCGTCCCTCAGAGGCCTGGAGGTAGACAGCGCGCTCTATGGGACGGTGGAGCCCCACGACACACGACGAGAGCCCGGCGCGACCTTCGTCCACGCCTTACGGTCTCCTCGGCCGGCGCGCTCTGGAGGCTCGGTCTGACCGGCCTGTCCAGTGACCTGATTCCTCGTCGCCTTCCTTATGAGCGTCGATGGCGGGATCTCCATCCGTCACGAACATTCCGTCACCAATCGCCCATAAGGCCCGGCGCACACTACGTCGGAAGAGAGCAGGCTGACTCCTGTCCTCTCCCATGGCGGAGACACCACGGATAGACTCCATTACCGCCATGCACAATCAGGCATTCCGGGCGGCCCCCACGGGTCCTGGGTCACATGCCAATGCCTCTTTAGGTCGTCACGCATGGGGTCAAATGAGACACAACAAAACGAGTCTGCCATCTCCGAAAAAAGAGCGAAACCGTGTCTTGAGCCGCGCTACCCACAAACGTCTATCTGCGTAGAAGCAGGATTACGGTAGTCTGGCTCCTCGTTCTCGTCACAGCCACGCCGGGCTACTCGCCTGCCGGCGGACCGCGAGCACTGGACTGCTCCGTCCATCCACACCGCAAGATACTGTCATCTACCGGCGGGTCGCGGGTGCCCGCGCCGCCATCGCGCACCGCCGTGTGCTGCCCTCTGCCGCGACTGCTCATGTCGGCTGACAGATGACGTTCGCGTCTCCTTCCGAACGCTGTCCCGGACGACGCCCCGCGAGTAACCTTACCTGGTCGCGCAGAACTGCGGGCGATCCCTCGAGATGTAGCGGGCTCGGCGCACCTCGCCGCTATGCCTCAGCACCCCGGCAGGCGGTCTTCCTTTGAAATCTTGCTAACATCCCGGGATCATGTCCGGTTCGGAAAATTCGACGCCGTTTTCCCCTACACCGAGCCTCCGACGTCCGTATCGGATTCGTCTGGGATGGGATGGGCCTTCGCCAACCAAACATGGACCTCGTGCATCTATCGGTCAGAGAACGATCCAGACCTAGCGAAACGGAGAGGAAGGTGGAAAACGGGGAACACATGCGCTCGCGGAGGGAATCCGCGCAGCGTGTGCGCTTGGCGGAGCTAGACCGTGCTAAGCTATTTAACAGCGAGGCGAGTGGCAAAAAAGAGAAAGGATCATGAAAAATGGACGACAATCACAAAAAACAAAGCAGAACACAAAAAAAAACAGAAATCGACCTCACCCACGCGCGGATACCTCACTGACTCAGCTAATTGATCGGGCGGACGAGTGATCAGGCGAAGGAGGCGGAGAAGCATGCACATGACGAACTGTGAACAGGCGCACCGGGCGGAGCATAGTGAGAGCTCGGCGTTCCGCGACGGATCGAGGGTAAAAGCTGGAATGCGAGCGGCCCGCTGACGGGAAGCGAGCCCGCGAGGACGTCCGGCGGACGTCCGGCATGCGCGGACGTCAGGCGAGACCATCCCGTCCATCGACCCGGCAAGACGATCAAAACGGATGGCAAAAGGGCAGCGTGATTGTGAGCGGATCGCGCATGCGCGCTGGCCGTGCTCCGGCGGGAGTTCGGCGTCTAAAAAAAACAAAAAAAAAACACGCACACACACACACAACCGGCAGCTGGAGTGGAAGGCCAAACGCCCAGTTGGCGGGAAAAAGAACCTTGGTCTGTGCGGAAGTCCCATGAGACTATGCAGTCCACCGGCCTAGGCAAAGCGATCGACGACGAATGGAGAGAAGGCAGCGTGGTCGTGAGAGAAACCGAGCATGCGCGCTGGATCGAACCCGTGAGGGCCCGGCCACCTCCAGTTATTGAAGAAAAAAACAACGAAGGGAACCAGATAAGGTGAACCGTCCACCTAACCCGCATTCTACCGCCATTGCCGCCGGAGACCTCCGGTGACATGTCGGCGCGGCCCGTAGGCCACGCCCGGCCGCGACGACGACAACATGCGAGGGTCCAGACAAGCCGCAGCGCCTCTACATGACCTCCTCCACCGGCAAACTCCAGACAGCTACGGGGCGGGTCAACGAACGGGCCGCTGCGCCCAGGCATGCATCCAGAGCTCCGGACACAGCACCGCCCAACGCCGGGCCGAGTGTCCTCTCGCCGCCCGAACCAACCTCATCCAGCCTCGCTCCTTCACTAAACCATTGCAATGCCAACCGTCATCTATATTTACGCACACGCAAGAAAACGAGGAAATCACTCGCGCGCAGCGACACACCAGTCCATCGCTTCACGCGAGCTCAGCGTCGAGCCGCGGGGCACCTTACGCATTCTCACACCCGAGCCCCTCCCCCTTCCCCAGCTCCACGGGAGGGATCCGATAACCGTGGCTTGCGCCACCCGGTGGGGAGGGGTGAAAGGGCACGCTCGGAGCGCCAGCCGTCCATGGCCCGGTGGGATGGAGAGGGTCAACAGCCTGGGCACTCACATCGTGTGCACTGTCGCCGGTGACCGTGGTACGCCGTGTCGAATGTCACAGCCGGGCGCTGTGAGCTGGGGCCTTGGAGCGTCGACCTCGAGATGCAGCTGTAGGCGTCGGGCGCACTCACTGGCACCGTACTCTCCCTCCGGAGCCCCTCGCATGATGTTTTATCGACTTTCGATACCTCTCAAATGGGTCGGCCTGCCTTCGTCTTCTCGCGTGATACAATGGGTTTGCCGCCTCGCCACCTCCGTCAAATGTGTTGACGGGCCGGCATGCACCGCCCTCAGAGTCCGGCCCTCGACGTGCCCCTAGACCAGATCTCGGGCGTGGCGTTGCTGGCGACGACGCAAGGCCCGCCCGCTCTCGCCTCGGGCCGGCCCTCCGCGTCCCGTTCTGGCCCAGTTCCCACGTGGCGTGGCTCTTCTGATGGCATCTGGGGCGACGGCGGTGCCGGCGCGGCGGGTGTCGCTGGAGCGAAACAGCCAACATCCTCATAACATGCTATTTGCACGTTCCTGTGCTCATGTTGTTTCGCCGATCGCTTGCTCTCGCCTCCTTTTCTCTTGGCGCGATGGACGATTTTGGCAGGTGGGGCCGCCGTCATGGCTGTTCTGGGGGAAGCACCTGGCGTTGTTTTGACGATGTGAGCTAATCGGTTGGATCGTCGAGCCGAGCTGCATTCATCCCTCGGTCTGATGGACGTGTTTGTTTGTGGGGGGGGGGGGGGGGGAGCCCTCGACCATGGCCGGCTGGTTCGTTTTCCCACGCTCTGCGCGCGAAGCCCCTCCGGTCCGGACGGGTGGCGCGCAAAACGACGAAGCATGAAAATGCATGCCTGCCTAACCCACTCTGGCGCACTCAGTTATTCGGAGCTTCCTACATCGCGCCGTGGGTAATTCACATTTGAACGGAAGGCCCTACGCTTTTGCGGGAGCCCCATCTGTTAACCTGCTCGGGCACACTCGAATATCCGGGGGCCCTCCACATTGTGTCTTGGGTACTTCCTATCTCAATGGAGGGACCCACGCCCTTGTCGGGGACCCCATCTGTTCGCCGCTTCGGCTGCACCGGATTGTTCGGGGGCTTTATATATTGGGTCTTGGTGTTTAAATTTAGGGCCCTAAACTCCTGTCTGGGTCACCTGATGATCTGCTCGCGTATACTCCATCTTTCGGGGGGCCCTCCGCACTGGGTTTTGAGTACTTCTTATTTGAATGAAGGGCCCTGTGCTCTTGTCGGGTTCCTTTTTGTACGCTACTCGGGCACATTTCATCATTCTGGGGCCATTTACTTAGGGTCTTCAGTGCTTCCCATTCGCATGGAGGGCCTTACGCTCTTGTTGGGAGCCCTATTTGTTAACCTGCTCGGGCACACTCGATCATTCAGGGGCCCTGTACAATGGGTCTTGAATATTTCCTATTTGAATGCAGGACCCAGGCTCTTGACGGGACCCTTTAGGTAAACCTGGTCTGGCGCACTCGATCGTTCAGAGCCCTACACATTGCGTCGTGAGTATTTCTTATTTGAATGGATGGCCCTATGTTCCTAGCGGGCCCCATTTATTCAGCTGCTCGGGCTGGTGGCGGATGCAGAGGGTGGTGGGGGGGAGGGGGAGGGAGGCACAGGACCATGTCCCATGAACCATGCCGAGGGAACCTAAAGGCTCCGAAAGGGCCCATAACCGGCTGCACGGACGCAGTTTCCTTACAACCAAAGCACAACAAAATTGGATGTATTTGGGCCTACAGATGACCAAGAACTATTGCTAGCAAAAGTAAAGAGCTCATACGTAAACGAAGTTCATTCTTTGCTGATTGAGAGAGTGTTGCTTAGGGGACATTTTGGGGCTCATTACGCTGTCTAGAGGCATTACGCTGTAGGCTGGCTGTCCCTATATTTCCACTTGTTGCGTCAATCTGATCGGTAAGGAGCTTTCCACGTTACCCTTGATCTCCTCCCATTTTTTCGTAGGGCCCAATGTGCTGTTGGGACGCTATCTGCCTCTGTGCTTGGGCACTGTTGATCACTCGGGTTTTCCTCCACGGATTCTTCCCATTTGCCCGAAAGGCTACATACGCTTCTTCCGGGGCCGCATATTCCAGAGAACATTCAGTTGCTCAGGGGTCCTTCATATAAATCTCAGGTACTTTCTACTTGCCTGAAGGGCCTTGTGCCGTTGCCAGGGCTCTTAAAAGGTAAGGCACGGAGACACTCGATGATCAGGGGCCTTCTGCTTTGATCGAGGGCTCTCTCCCTTTGGTCTCATTTGCGGCTGACTTTTCACTCCTATCGAGACTCGTGTTGTAAACCTGCGCGTGCACTCTTAATTGCACAGGGATATTCATTTAAAGTATCAAACAATTCCCCTTTCCTCGGAGGATCCTGTGCTATGACCAGACCTCATAGGTCAGCCTGTCGATGCGCTAACGATCGTTAAGGGGCCCACCGCGTTGGTCTTGAGCTCTTTTTGCTTGCTTTGAGGACCCCATACTTGTTGACGGGAGCCACGGTGTTGGTCTCCTGCGGCACCCATGACCGCTTAGGTTCCCTCGCTATTGGCCTTGGTGCCTTCACCTTTGAGCAGCAGCCGAATACGCGCCGATGATTTTTTACGCGCAGTTGCCGAACATAATTATACATGCCTCCGCCGTCGTATGCGTCATTTCCACTGGCTATTCAGCGTGTCACACTCAGTTAGATTTACGGTCAACCCTCACGGGATCCTCAATATCTCTGTAGGGTGTGGACTCCCTCCCCCAGCATTAGAAACTACGGTACTGTCCGATATGAAAAGCCCTATCTAGATTTCATTCCGCTTCGAAGTGAAGTGAGTTGGCATCATCACGCCGCGCCGATAGACCACGAAGCCACCCACTTAACAGCGGCCGCCGTCGTGATTCGAACCCGGGCTTACCGCATGCGAGACCAGTACGCTAACCAGTCATCCCCTGGAGATGCGAGCCCGGCGGCCGAAAATTCGTGATTAGAATATAAATGTTCCAGAGCGAGTTCATGGATTTCGTGATCGTTTGATGTCGATCACGCATAGAATTGACTTTTCGCACGGGATGCTACATTTTTGCACTTTCTGGCCTCCAGGGCTGCCAATTCGCGTATGCTTGAGGCGTACAGCCATCTGCAAGATTTTTGGAGGGTGTATAAGCCCGGTGCGTAACCGCCCTCTGTTTTGGAGGGTGTATAAGCCCGGTGCGTAACCGCCCTCCGTTTTGAAGAGTGTACACGCACTGCCAAAGTGAAAACCACCCCATGATCGAAGGTCCGGGTTCCTGTGCTATGCTGCAGTTTTCAAACAGCCGGTCGCGTCTTTCATCAGTGACGTCACTCAAAGCAATCTGCGATATGCACGCTGGTGGGATGGAGAGGACGGAAACGACGCGATTGATACAAAAGCAATTTCGAGGTTCACGTTGGACTACAGGGCAATAATAGTAGGGTGCTTGCCAGTTTCCTATGCGGGTTGCTGGTCATTGGAGTTGATCTGTTTATCTTTCATAATTTTGTTCACAGCCCATATCTGGTTGAATAATATTGTCCCAAAAATCAGCGAGCAAGTACTCAGCAATCTGCGGTAATACTGGTTGTAGGAAATTACAGTGCGAGAAGCTGTGGCAATCTGCGGTAATACTGGTGGTAGGAAATTGAAATACAAGAAGCTGTGTCTTGGTGTGCTTATTTTTACCCATCAGGTTGAACAGGCAGCGCTTCACCCACATTTAACTATCAGCTTTGTGTTAATTGCCAGTTGCAAAAGCGGGATGATTTAATGTTTGCTGTGGTATCAGCTGCCTCCCTTTAATAATGTTGATGATGTTCACAACCATCTTGATATGATTTTCCAATGATGTGATTTGAATTTGCCATGTTCTTACAATGCTTGGGGGGGCTATCTGCAGGGAATTTTGTAGTTTGTTTCCTTTTACTGTTGTCAGTTGTCATCCTTTTGCATCTCAAGGTTGGTTTGAACCATGAGTTGACTCCTATACCCATTCATGACCTTTCTTTGAATATTTATTGACATGTATGTTCTGGCTCAGATTCAACCTCAATCATTGCTATTTGGCTGATTTAGTTTGGGCAAGTTTTAAATCTGATCTCTCAGTATGTCATAAGATATGCCTAAGTTTTACTTGATTTACAAACAAGTATGGTGATTCTTGGTTTTGTTAAAGAATCATAATTCATGTTGAGTACAAGTCATTTTCAGTCATTTCAGCCATTCAATTGAGCACAAGTTTAAGTTCATCTGTCAAAAGTGGAGCATTTGCTTAGGTATCAGACATCCCGGAAAGCATAATGGTGGTTAAAAGAATGCTGCTCAGAGATGTTGCTTCTTTATCTTCTAGCTAGCTTATGCAGAAACTTAAGGCATTGATTACCAAATGATTGAGATGAAAGACCGCCTGATGTGAATCACTGTTATAAAGGGTTTCCTGTCATTTTCAGATGGCCCTGCGAGGAGCAATGTCAGGCACATTGTTACGAATGCCCACCTTGGGCAGGTGTATGTCATCTCTGTCAGATGAGGTGCTCTTCAATGTCCAGAATAATGTAGGCATAATCACCATGAACCGACCAAAGCAGCTGAATGCCCTGACCCTGAACATGATTCGGGCAATGCACCCAAAGCTGATGGAGTGGGAGAAGAAGATGGAGCTTGTCATTATTAAAGGTTATTCATTCCTGGCCGCTTTGTTGCACCATTTGCTGTTTTCTATGCACTGTTACATTGGATATGTGTGTCATCTCATGGGATATTGAGCATCATCTGAATTGTGAAATTAGTTGATTAATGTTAAAACAGGTCATGAAAATAACAAACTCAAGACTTTCAGGGAGTTCACCATGAAATGAACTGAGTGTTTGAATCATTTAAAGGAAAACCGAATTGATATTGGTTCTTTATCAATTTCTTTTGCCACTTCTTGTGCCCATCATATATCTTGTTTTTGTCCACATGGTTTTTCAAAGTTTGAAACTTGCTTTGATGTGCCAATGGCTGTCCGCTGCATGCTGAATGTTGCATCACTTTAATTGCTTGCATTTATGTCCACCACTAAGCACTTATCAGCTCACTTCACACATCAGGTCTAAAGTCTCTGACTTAAGTCTAAGGTCTCTGACACAGGTGCAGGCGAGAAGGCCTTCTGCGCCGGTGGCGACGTCGTCGCCATCACGGCGCCCGGCCGCCAAGGCGACAAAGCCGACCCGTTGCCGCGTCAGTTCTTCCACAACGAGTACCGCCTGAACCTGCTGACGGGTTCGCTGGCCGTGCCGTACGTGGCGCTGCAGGACGGCATCACGATGGGTGGCGGCTGCGGCATGTCCGTGCACGGTGAGCTCAGTAGGTGGGCGCCAGTCGGACTGATGTCTGACCTGGTCCATGGCTGTCGACCAGCGGGCGTCGTTGGTGCTCGTCATTTCATTACACTTGTCCACTAGTTCACAGACACGAGCATCTGAATGTGATGGCGTAATGAGATGGCTGACGGCCAGCGGGTGTCGTTGGTGCTCGTCATTTCATTACACTGGTCCACTAGTTCACAGACCGAGCATCTGAATGTGATGGCGTGATGAGATGGCTGACGGCCAGCGAACGTCGTTGGTGCTCGTCATTTCATTACACTGGTCCACTAGTTCACAGACCGAGCATCTGAATGTGATGGCGTGATGAGATGGCTGACGGCCAGCGGACGTCGTTGGTGCTCGTCATTTCATTACACTGGTCCAGTAGTTCACAGACACGAGCATCTGAATGTGATGGCGTGATGAGATGGCTGACGGCCAGCGGACGTCGTTGGTGCTCGTCATTTCATTACACTAGTCCACTAGTTCACAGACACGAGCATCTGAATGTGATGGCGTGATGAGATGAACGGGCCGGCTGCTGCAGGGAAGTACCGGGTGTGCACGGAGAAGACAATGTTCGCCATGCCAGAGACGGCGATCGGGTTCTTCCCGGACGTGGGCGGCGCGCACTTCCTGCCGCGTTTGCGCGGTCGGCTCGGCCTCTTCCTCGCGCTCAGTGGATACCGGCTCAAGGTGGGGGATGGTGACGACCCCACGGGGTCGAACGGGTCACCGCCGCAGCGCCTGGTCAGGCTCAAGGGACGCGAAGGGGATATCTCACGAGACGTGTTGTTTAAAAAAGAACGCTTCTCGGAGTCCTGTAAGGTGTCTTCCCGACCTTCATTAAGGTTGGGTTTATGTGACCTTGATAAATGTATATGTGTGGGCCCGAATATGCGGCCCCAGAATTATTCTCCGTTCTCAAGCAGGTCACATCGGCAGACGTTTTGACTTTATACGCAATACCATCTTGTTATGCCTCGCTTTCTTGGTCTGGTTTGCCTTTGGCTTCACCACTCTGACGCTTTCGAGCCACCTGGGTGTAGAATGGCGGGCAAACATGAATGACGTATGAGGTGCGTGCATGATTGATGATAAGTACGGTTCTATCTTTTCTGAACGGTTTCCCGATAATTCGTGTTGCCACGACAGGAGCCACATGATATGCAATTGCATTGTTCCTGCTTTTGGTTGTTCTTCAGATGACTGGGACGCTCTGACACGGAGTGGTCTGCACGGTCTCCATCGTAATCCACCCCCTGCACAGGCTGGAACACGCGGCGCGCTGAGAGACGCAGGCCAGTCGACTCGCCTGCAGCTGACTCGCTCCCCTCCCCAGGGCCGTGACAATCTTCACGCGGGCATTTCGACTCATGTCTGTGACTCTGCCTCTTTGGACGACCTGGTATCGGAGATAGCCGAGGCCGGTGCCTCCCGGCTGGAGGCCGTGCTCGACAGCTACTCACAGAAAGCTGGTTAGTATGGGCGGCTACTAGCAAGGCTGAGCGGTACGAATAACTGCTTACGACTCAGGTGTCTGCAAGTGCTGGCACATACTTATGGAAATGGTTAGTAAGCACGGACAGTTAGCTCCGCTCCTGATAAGTTCGGTGCGTGGCACTCGGGATATGAGATCCAGGTGTGGTCAACTGTTGACGACAGGCCGACGTTGCGTGCGGGCCGCGTGTGCTGTCTTTTCGGTATTTGTCCAGCTGTGTTTAATCACTGCAAGGCAGGATAGCACTGAGCGGTCATCTTCAGAGATCCACATATATCTGGAGTTTTTCTGCTATCTGTCAGCTCAATCGCCTCAGCCTGGAGCACTGACCGCGCAGGACCTCCCGCCAGCACGCCCCAAACCTCAGCGAGCTGCGCCCGTCCACAGCGTTCGACGCTGGCAAGCCGTTCTCGCTGGCTCCGCACCTGGCCACCATCGACCGCTGCTTCGCCAGCGACTCGGTGCCCGACATACTGGCCGCCCTTCAGGCTGACGGCTCAGAGTTCGCCACTAAGGTGAGCGCGGATGCTGGAGGTCCGGGGTCAGGCAGACGCGGCGGGGAGCCTTGTTGATGACGCGCTGAGTGCGGATGTGCCGTTCCTGCGGTGCGATGTGTTCACTGCACAAGCCCGTGCAGCCTCCAAGCATAATTGTAAGTTTGGCTGGTCATCAGCGACGTCCGACGGCGCGGCCTGCGTGCGCCGGCTGCATCAGAGCAGGACCAGCATTTTCCTTGCTTGCACCATTAGTGGGTAATGGTGAATCAGTCTGTCGGGGTCAGTCGCAGTCATGGACGCGATCGAATGCTGTTGTTTATGAGCACCGGCACGTGCCGGCTGACCGGAGACCGTGCCGCGGCGCAGATCCACGCCACGCTCGTGAAGATGTCGCCGACGGCCATGGTGATCACGACCGAGCAGCTGCGGCGGGGTGCCTCGCTCTCACTGGCCGACTGCCTGCGCATGGAGCTGCGGATGGCGTACCGCTTCGCCGAGGATCACGACTTCTATGAGGGTGAGCGCCGTGGAGCCGCGCTGGACTCGGCGCGGACGGGTCGGGAAGGGACGTCCGAGTGTGTGTCCGGTTTCGCTGACAGCGGTGGGATAGCGTTCAAGTAGGACTGTGTATATTTCGATGTTTGAATGTTTGAGAGAATGAAAATTGGAATGAAAAGTAAAACTGCGTCAAGAACGCTGGTCCGTGAATGCAGAATGAAATCATTCATGGACGTGGGTTGTGCGACATTTCATGATGTGCATTAGTTCTATGTGGAAGTCATTGGTCATTCCTCTGTGCTTTCCTTTTTTGTTGTATGCTGTTGACGTGACTGTTGCTGATTCTGTATCGTATCGGTCTTCAGGCGTCCGGGCCCTCCTGGTCGACAAGGACCAAAGTCCGGTATGGAAGCCCACGACTGTCGCTGAAGTGACCGCTGCCACAGTGGAGCGCTACTTCTCCCATCTGCCGGCCGATGAGGAACTAACGTTTTGATGCGGAGCCTTGAAGTCTGGGCCTGTCGGCCGTGTGCTGACAGTTCGGAGGGCGGATCTTGCAGACGTGGCTGAGTGGAGCAGCACGGGCAGGACGGCTGCCTGCCTGCCCTGTGGTGCAGGGGGCACGGGGAGGTTAGGAGGACAGTAGTTTTTACCTGGGTTTATGAGCAATGAGAAGGCGTCAAGGTCAGTGATAAATGGATATGCGCGCTTCCACGTGCTTAGATTGAGGGACATTGTTTACTGCAAAGATGAAGCCGTAGATTCCCTACTCAGTGATCTGTTTTAGCATCTTGTTTATTTTGTCTTTGTTGGGTGTAAGTCAATGTGTGTAAATGAATACAAACTAAACTTAACTGGGGAGGCTGGTGGGACCAGGCAAGGGTCATGGACGTGTTACGATGAAGGCCGCCAGCCATTTTTGTTTGTTCCTGTTCAGTCAGCGTTCATAGAGACAACGTTAAATTCTCAGAATGTTGGAAGGCATTGCCCCTCTCCCCACACACGCTTCTGGCGCCTTAGTTCCCGCGCCCCTGGGTGGAACGACGCTGTTTTTGTTACATAAAGCTAATGGTGTGGTTTTGCGAAGGCTCCTAAGCCGTCCATCTGTTTTTACATCGCAGCGTGTTTGCTAAGTGTCAGTGCCATCGCAGCGTTGCGTGCACGGTGTTCGGTGTAGTTGTCGACTCCTCAGTAATTCAGTGCAATAGACGGATGTGCTGAGAACCGTGTGTCCAACGAGGTCATTACGCCAGAGTGTCGCGCTCGCACCGCGCCACGGGACGGAGAACACCGCAGCGATGGTTCGGGGAGGTAGGTCAGCACTTCGCGTGCGCACTCCGATGGTTCGGGGTGGGTCACGGCCGGCGTCCAGCTTGCGCACTCCGATGGTTCGGGATGGCTTACGGCCGGCGCCTGGCAAGCGGATTCCGATGGTTCGGGGTGGCTTACGGCCGGCGCCTGGCGCGCGGACTCCGATGGTTCGGGGTGGCTTACGGCCGGCGCCCGGCGCGCGGACTCCGATGGTTCGGGGTGGCTTACGGCCGGCACCCGGCGCGCGGACTCCGATGGTTCGGGGTGGGTTACGGCCGGCGCCCGGCGCGCGGATTCCGATGCGACGCTTGAGAGAAGACTCGAAGTGACCAAATGCGCATTCACGATCTCTGCTCAGTGGGAGATCACAACCACGTTGGCCTGGTGAAGAAAACGTACAACTGAGATGGGCTGATCCCGGCGGTTATCTTACTAAGTAACCAAACGTTCCAACACTTAATCATAGCCTTGCGAACGTCGCTTGCGTACATGGCGGAGCTTAATCACATCGTGCGAAGTGGGTTTGTAGCACGCGCACGTGTAGGTTTGTAGCTGCTCGTGCGCGGGCGTGCTTGTGTTTGTTCTAACACAGCAATATCAGAGACCACAACACATGACCCGTGGCCACATCCCTGTCGAAGCCTCGAGAGCGCTATCAACGGTTGGTGTTGTAAGCTGCGCCGTCTTCCGGTCATCAGTGTGGGAGCGCGCCAGTGTTGCTCCGTCCTCGCCATCTCGGCTACTAACACGTGTTTGAGTCAGTGAATATTGCTCGCGAACAATTTTTGTGGAGCGCATGTTTACGCTGGCGGTCCGTCATTTGAAGGCACGCATTTGGTGAGTAGCAGTGCTGATTACAAGCAGTCGGTGCTGGTCTACAGTAGATGCGATGACAGGCTGGAACAACCCAGGGCAAGACGAGCCAGGAAGCTGACCAACGAATTGTATAAACGGTTATTTAACAAATTCCGATCCAAAAAACTTATGGAACACGGCTTTAATCGTGGAGCCTCACGAGAACAAACCCACGGAAAATCGCCGGCCCCAGGTGCTTCAAGACAGGTGACCCTTTGTGGGCTCGTGTCCTCTCCAATAAACAAGACCCAGGGTGGTGGTTAAATGGCCGCCCACAAGCACGCACCTCCCGCACCACAGCCCAGCTGCTTTGTTGGCGTTGGTCGCGCGGTATGGGTCAGGAGGCGCAGATTCTCGTTCCGGCCGCTTTTTGTTCGCTGTGGGGAGGGGCATGCGGCGTTGAATCGATGATCCACACTAAGCAGGGCGTCGCCAAGGGACATGAGTCGTGCTCGGGCGGGCGCAGAGGAACCACCGGCTGGTGCCGCAACTGACCTTGTGACGCGTGCTGAGGAGGAGCGCACGGTCTGTAGCTCAGCTGGCCTTGTGACGCGTGCTGGTGAGGAGCGCACGGTCTGTGGCTCAGCTGACCTTGTGACGCGTGCTGGGGAGGAGCGCACGGTCTGTAGCTCAGCTGGCCTTGTGACGCGTGCTGGGGAGGAGCGCACGGTCTGTGGCTCAGCTGGCCTTGTGACGCGTGCTGGGGAGCAGCGCACGGTCTGTAGCTCAGCTGGCCTTGTGACGCGTGCTGGGGAGCAGCGCACGGTCTGTAGCTCAGCTGGCTTTGTGACGCGTGCTGGTGAGGAGCGCACGGTCTGTGGCTCAGCTGACCTTGTGACGCGTGCTGGGGAGCAGCGCACGGTCTGTAGCTCAGCTGGCCTTGTGACGCGTGCTGGGGAAGACTCGCGGTATGGGCCGCAAGTGACCTTGGAGTGGTGTGGGGAGTGTGAGAGGCATAAAGTTTGTGTTACACCTGACGTTGTACCCCGTATCATAGGCGGAAGACGTCCCGGGAAGTGGGAATGCCAGTGCTAATTTGATGTTCATTCTTTCCGCGCGTCGCTATAGGGCTGCTATAGGGTCGCTTTAGGGTGTGGGGTCGTTTTAGGGTAAAGGGTCGCTATAGGGTTAACGCCCAGGATTCTCTGAAAGTTGGGGAGCCATGTCGGATGCGAAACCTACGCCTATGCCGAGTATTGTAGGGAGTGTTCAATCTGCAACATGCCTGACCCCTGTGATCTGTGTGAGAGCCCTCTGGTCTGTACTGCACCTGTGTCGTTGGGCCCATGCCGTGAGGTACGCCCTGCCCGTGCTCAACCTGGCCTTGTAATCCGTGTTATGAGAGATCTAGGCATACACCACGTGTGACATTATCGCCCGTATCGTGGAGAACAACCGACCGGACTCGCCTTTCACCCGGCGCTGTGCTGTGTACCTGCCCAGCTGGTGTTTTGTGACGGCCGGTCCACCCGACCTCGTGACCAGCGCTGTGACGTCCGGTCGGTCGCATGACCCCGCGACCCGTGGTCGTGACGCCGACCGGCCGTCACTTTGCTGTGACGCGTGCTGCGAGGACCCGCAGGCCGGTGTCTCACGCGATCGTTTTTACCGTCAATTTACAGTGTTGTCGATGGTGTCAAGCATGCTGATCAGCGCAGCGAGGCAGACGGCGGAGGGTGATGGGACGGGGTCATAGCGTCGGCCTCACAAAATGCCGCGATTAGGAAAAGGTAAAGTGGGAATCGACATGATGATGAAATGACCTTGTGACACGCTATCAAAGTCATGAGAAGCAACAGGATGTTTATGAAACGTCGGATAATTCTTCGCGAGTAAACACGCGCGTGCTTCGACACTCAGTGTTGACCGAGAATCCGAGCTAAGAACGTTCCGTCACGACCGTCGACAGCTGTCCAGCATGGGCTCCGGCAGCAGCACTGGAGGTGAGGATCGCGTGCACAGAGCCTGCACCATAGAACCGCGAACTCATGCCTAGCCCCGGGATTGACGCTGGTTGTGCTGGTCATATCGATTTCGTCGCCTGTTCGGCACAAAGACTCAGTGCGCGGTCAGTCAGCTGTTTGCCCGGACGTTGGATACCTGTATTGATTGCGGCATCACTCAGACAGATTGGCGATCGGTTGATGCGCCCTTGAGAACTAACTGATGGGCTAAACGGCAAAGTGCAATGCTTTTTTGCCCGTCACTGAATCAGGAAGCCGAGCAGCATACGCAGTATAGCACGGGCCAGCACTGGTCCGTTCTGTGACCGTTCCAATGCATAAGGGTGACAGTGGCTTGACCGTGCTACATATTTGTTTGCAACGGGCTAGTATAATCTGAAAGCTGCCACCAACTCTCCGCCCACATCTCAAAACACGAATCTAATTCGCTATTGATCTTGTTGTTTGTGCCCAGGCGCCAAACGTTACAACCGAGCTCAGTTTGACCAAGCCGCTGCCGCGCCTGATCGCGGCGACTCCCTCCCAATGTCGCATCACGCCACTCCCAATCTTCCAGCTCCGAAGAAGTACATCACAGTGGAGTGGAAGCCAAACAACGAGACCGATGTGGACGAGGGCGAAATCCTCCACACGGCGCGGTCCGGCACCGGAAGATCGCGAATTCGCCGCGGTAGCCGCGTGGCTCCGTCCTTACCAGCGCCGCCCCAGCCGCGGGCCATCCGCGCGGCGTCGCCGGCGGGGACATATACCGTCACATCGCCGGGCGCCATACCGCTGCAGTTCCGGGCGGTGACCCCTGACCTGAGGTCAGAGGTCACGCTGACCCCTCGGCGGGAGGAGGCCGAGCGGAGTCCGCCGTCGCGACAGGTTGTGACCTCTGCGTCGGCGGCGCAGACCCCGCCGACCCAGCGCGGCGAGGTCGCGGAAACACCGCCGGGCCGGCAACGACGCAAGAAGGCCACGCTCGTCAACCAGATGGTGTTCTCGTCCCGACCCCCGTCGGGGGTGGACGCGGACAGGAGCACGGTGGTGTACCTGCCCCAGGCGGAGATGGACCTTCTGCTGCGAACGATGCAAGGGGCGGGCGGGGACGAGCCCGGCCCACGACAAAGTGTCGACTCAGAACCCGCAGGCCAAGAGGTGGACAGTGCTGCAGAGAGGCCGCAGGCGGAGTGTCCGTCCGCTCCGCCGGCCGCCGGTTTGAACCGGACTGAGCCAGATCACAGTTCTTCCCCGGCCGGGCCGCGGTCGCCCAAGCTTGGTGAGTAATGGTTTTTTGGTGACTGTGGCAATGATTGGCTGGTGCGGCGGCGCCTGCTCTCTATTTTTTTTTTTTTTTGTTCATGACCCTGTTAAACGCAGGCTCGTGACAAATACATCAGCCGTGCGGTTCATGCTCACGTCTGCACAGCATGCATCCGTTATGTTTACCATATACGACATTTTCAGCCATGCATGTGGCCGAGTGCGTAGACTTTAACACGATACTTTGCTACTCTTGCGAGGGCGCGTGATACAGTTACAAAGAGCACTATTTACAATAAGCCATCAAATCTGAGTTTAAATAAGCAAACCGAGCTGTACTTTTTATGTCTATCCCAGGCCGTTTCTTGAATGCTATTTTGGTTTACGTATTGGATAAATGTTATATTGGATGAAAAGAATTCGTACAACATGCCATCGGACGAAATTATTATCAATGAATTCGGCGTTCCAAGAGGACTTCCGCCGAGACCGAGAGCGCCCACAGATCTAGATGGCTTCCACCCCGGGAGAAATGCTAATTAAAAACCTCCGGAATATCAGAAGGAGGGAAAAAGACCTCAAACTCGCAGAGAGGGTGTGCCCACTGTGCAGGGATACCCTTTTCTCAGAAAATCGACATTTTTCAGCAACATTCGACATGGATACATCGCATTCAGAATTAACGCGTGATTTTGAAACCACTTCAATGAAGCGCGTTAACGCTATTTCTATGCAAGTGTCAATTAAGCTTGCTGATCTTTTCCAGGTGCACTCTATATCCCTACAAGTTATAGCGCTGAAACTTAATGGCATTGTTTGATATCGGGCTCGCATATTCCGTTAAGCGTT